CCTGCGGCCTTCCCGCCCTCTCCTCCCCTTCCCGCTGGGATTACTCCTGGCGCCTTAAAAAGACTTGTTCATTTTTTGTTTTGTTTCGTTAACTCTGGCTATTCCCATTGCAAAAAGCCTGCCCCCCGGCCATCTCAGTGGCTGAGCTTTCCAGGCTGGAAAGCCCCAGAGTGATACTTACTGAGCTAATTCTCGCATTACGCAGCAGAGTTGGCTAGCCTGTCTTAAAAAGGAGCCGAGTTTGTGGGGAGCTGAGTGACGTTGGTTTACATCCTGGTACCCAAAAGCACAAATTACCTGGCAGCTACAGTTGCTGTCCGAAACGTGGTTTGCTCTTTGAAGTTTAGTGTCTCAAAAGCAGTCGAATTCTCCGCTCCCTGTGAACCGTTCAGGTGCCTGCTGTTAGCGCTGCACGTATCCTGTGTGAGCGCGGCCTGCCTGAACAGATGCTTCCCAAATAAAAATTCCCTTTGGGTTCCACCCTGAGCGCCCTGAAGCGCGAGGCTGGAAGGGTTGGGATTCTCTGCTGCTGGCAGAGAGCCCACAGAACTCCTGTGTGCAGCTACGGTGCCTCTGCTTGGCTTTCGTGGCTGCTGTGCTAAACAACTCTTGGGAAGTGGGGGATGTACTTTCAGGTGCACATGTTAAGCAAAGAGAATTTTAAAGATTTTTATCCAGTGACAAGCTGGGTTTGGTTTTAGAAAATTCGTGTTAATCTTAAACAGCAGGATTTTGTGTGTATAGATGTATATATATGTACATACATAGAGATAAATAAACACTGGCATTTCACAATACGTGCTATAATGAAAATGGCTACAATAAAGTGTTTATTTTTGGGGTTTTTCGATGATATTTAAATTTTTTCTGCATCTGAATAATACTGTGGTTGTAAAACCACTGGTATTTGACTGAACTTGGCTTTGCAGCACTGACAGTAGATATACCTCTGCCTAGGAAGGAGATGGATGTCTGTCTCATCCTACTGCAGGTCTTTTATTCCTTTTGCTATTGCATAAAATACTTCAGTGCCTTACCCTAGGCTTCTTCCAGTGCTTCTGTTGGATAAATCTGAAGGTGTGGACAGGCTGCTTGAAGAGGGAGAGGAAACAGGAAGAACACTGACTTCTTTTTTACCTAAGAAAGTGTTAGGGAATGGAAAGATGACCATCTGATTTTCTCCATGTTAATGAGAAGGGCTTTAATTTCCAGATTAATTGTTAGAATTTGTATTTGGTGCTTGTCTTATAAATACAGTAATTACATTTAGAGCCATGGAATGTTTTTTACATCTAAAATCTTCACAGAATGTCTTTATCTCAAAAGTTTAAAAATACTTCAGAGCAGAACCTCCAACAACTCTCTCAAGCTTTCTGGTTTTCTTAATATATTTAAGTTAGATACTTGCCTAAGTATTACACTTGGATGGTGGTAGTGGTACCCAGATTAATTACCATACAAAACTGTCTGGAATTCTGGCGGGGTTCCCTCTGCCTTTACATATTAGCCTTGTGTGCAGTACAACTGTTAAGTGCATTATAGGGCCTGATCATTCTTTGGAAACTGCTTCATACAGCATGGCCTGCCTTCAGGTGGGAATAAACTGATAATTCTTATATCTCTGTCTGGCTTACCTGCCTTAACCTGAAAGACATAAGTTTATTTACTTAAGTAGTGTTAAGAGTGATTAGAATAATGACTATATTATACTAAGATCCATCATTAAATTTTTTGACTAAAGTTCTGCTAATTGCTTTGATTCATTTTTTCCTTAAACCTAGTGATTCTAATTTAAATTTTGCTAACTACTCATGAAGCCAGGATGGGATGCTTTATTTCTTATTAGCTGTTAATTTTGCATCAGTAACCTTTAGTCTTACCTGTTTTCATTCACTTGTTGTTTTCTAACCCTTATTCTGCCTAGCTGTTGTATTTAACTTCTGTATTGATCCTCTTTGTAGAGAAAGCATAGGGTAGTGTGTGAGTGTGTTTGGAAGGTGTTTTGACGTTCCTTTTATCAAGCTCATTTTTCATAATTGCATAAAAATACAAATGTTTTACTTGAGTTATTACAAAATGAGTCATTAAAGGAAACACATTTCAAAACCCTGCAACTGAACAAACGAACAATAGCAATCTTTAAAAATAAGCCACAGAATCCCTAATTGATGAATAAGGCTTTTTGCCTTTTTTTTGTTGTTTTGTTCAAATAGGTTTTTACCCTTTTGAATTCACGGCAGTCCAATTTCTCTCTGAAGATAATTTTGCTGTCAATAATAAAAGTGGTTGCAGAAATCACATTTGCAGTTCTTCCAGCAAGTCATAAATGTGACACTTTGCATGGCCCTGATGAGTGGAAATGTGCAGTCACTGTTGCAGTGGAGTCCTGACAAGTCCCAGTTGTTGCTGGCATCACACACTGAACTCTTTGTGTGCCTGGTGTGTGTCTGTGCTTTTTCTACAGCTCAGTACCTGCCTTTCCCTACAAGTGTCTTGTGTTTCCATGCACTGCTGAGGTTCAATACATTCCAAACTTTGCATATATCCTGCTGTGCATTCAAGCATTGTTATCAAATACTGGGTTAAGAGATTTTAGAGTAACTTGCTTTTGAGTTATTCTGGCATTATAACTGTAGTTTAAATAGAGATCACCAGGATAGCAAGAATAATTTCATGTACTCTGAGTGAAACTGTTTAGCCTTGGCAGTTCATGAAATAGCATATTATAAAACATGCATGTATATTAGTAAACATTTCTCAAACTGAACTAAACTTGGGTATTTTTGGAGGGATATGAAGAGAGCAGAGGAGACTGACTCAGTTGTTTCAGTCTTGAGGTGATTTAAGGTTTCAGCCTTACAACCAGCTAATACCGTGGATGTTAGCTATTAACTCTGTTAAAATGCTTTGTAATTAGTAGTTTTCTTTATGCAGAAGAAAAGTTCCAAGGCTTCACTGGATGGTCCCTGTAGTCCTCTCCTTGGTTTCTAGACACTAATAGAGTTATGTGTTCTATTGTCAGCCTACATGGGCAGAAATTTAGGAGGAACTTAGGAATTTAGTTAGCCTGTGTTCTGTTTTTTCTGCCTGGCTGGATAATGATTTCTCAGACTGCAGTTGTTTAGTCCTTGCAGTGTAACTTTGATTAGGTAATGTCAACATCCCAGGGACACAGAGATTGTTGCAATAGCTTCAGAACGTGCTGGTGTTAGTCACTTGTTGGGGTTTTGTTGGTTGGATGGTTGGTTTTGGGGCTTTTGGACAGTTTTTCCTTGTAAATGAGAAGCAGTTCTATGCTGTTTGCGTTCCTTTCGCTGCAGGGCCTTGTGCCAGCACTGGTCAATCCTGTCAACTCCTTCTCCAGCTCCTTTTATCCTTTCTCCCCCAGTGCATCCTTATCCCTGTCCTGTTGTGCCTCATTCAGGTTTGTTTTCAGCCAGTTTGAGGCCTGACTGAGGTGCTGCTGAGAGGAGGGAGGAAAGAGGGGAGAATGAACTGCAGTAGCTTGACTTAAGAAGTTCTAACTTCTCATTCTTGCGATTCAGTTTTGTGTTGCACTAATTCCTGAAAGCACATAGTCCTACATCCTTCCAGTTCCTCCTGCCCAGCCCTGTTTGGTCACCTCCTCCTCTCCCTTCTCTCCCATCTAACCACCTCTGTGGGGCTCCAAGGAGTTGGTTGTGGAGTTCATGGCAACATTTTTATTGAAAACCATCTGAAGGTGGAAATGTGGGCCAGGGGATGGCTTGGAATGCTATTCCTTGTGGTGTGCTGTCATAGGTATGATTGGATGTTCCATCTAAGAGCTGGAGAATCCAGCACCTGCTTATTCCTGGCTGCTAATCAAAGTCAATAGCATGTGGAAGTTTATTCTATATTGACAGAATTCTGTCTCCACCAAGATTGCTCCTTGACTGTGGTGAAGGAGAGGCAGGAATATTGCAATGTGTAAAAGAAATTATTTTTTTTCTAGGCAGCAGGGTTTTTTAAATTGCATAGGCATTTTAGGTTGTTCTCTTTAATTGTTTGACCTCTGTTTAAAAAAATCTTAATTTTAATAATATCTATAATCATAATATCTAGTTTTGAATCAAACATAAGTTACTACACTTAAAGGAGAAAATCCATTTGAGCCAAGAGGCAGCTTTTCCTTGTGAGAAAGGGTGGGTGGGTGAAGGGTGATGCAAGTGAGTGCAAGTCTCAAAGGAGTTGTACAACAGTGTGCATTGCACTACACTGAGAAAAGTGTGGGGGATGTGTACTCTATTTACTGCTTTGACAGTGAAATGAATCACCATGTTTTGTGTTACAACAAAAAGCTGACCTTATCAGGATTTGAATCAATAAAATACATTGCACTGTTTTGATAATCTTGCTGTTTTCTTTTGTCTTTCCTGTGTTTTGCTGAAAAGTATGGGAGGCACAATTCCACCTGCTCCAGCCAACGCCTCCACGGAGGAGGCAAGTAAGGTGAGATATGAAGAATTGATCACTGAAAAATGATGCTGGCAAAATTACTGAGAAGCAGAAGGGCAAAATTTGCTGTCAGTTTTCAGTCAGACAGGGGGGGTGAATGTGAGAGTTCAGTCTGAAGCCTGCCCATTGTGAGTTTTAGGTGACTTGTTACAGATGGCTTCCTACTTAATTTCAAGTGTTATCATGCTCCATTTCCCTAATCCTGAATGCCTGATGTTCGCTGTAATGCAAATGCTATACAGAGTCTTGATTTCTTTTTTTGTTTGTTTTCTCTTGTGTGTTTTGAAACCATTTCTCTAGTCATTAGTGGATTATATTATGATCTTTTCATGAGAAGAAGTATTAACGAGCATGATAAGTAATGAAGGGATCAGTAGAACTATCAAATTTTTAAGGCAGTATTGTGGAAGATGTTGGCTTTTGTTGATTCATTTTAAGGAAGAAAATAAATTTGCCTTGTAGATATTTATATCAGAATTTTTTTCAAGTTTGAAATACTTTTGGAAAAAAGATGTTTTTTAATTTTTTTAATGAGACATTGGATGCTGGAATAACTGGTCAGAGCAATATGAAGGGATTGGGTGTATGTACTGAATATAGTCTGTGACAAGAGAAGTATAAAGACAAGCAGCTTGGATCTGTGATAATAAACAGGTTATGCTAAGTTATGGAGTTCAGATGAAATTTAGTTAGAAGTTGATAAAACATTTGAAATTTTTGAAAAAGTATTATGTGTAAAATAGTGCCATATTCTATGGCAATCATCTCAGACCTTGGCAAATGAGAACAATATTTAAATCAGTGTCATCAGCTTATTGTTCCCTTCTAAAGGACATTAGCTTAATGGTATTAAATTGAGAGAATTTATGATCCAGAGAATGTGTGAGGGAAGGCAGGGAGATTGGAAGGGTTGGTTAGTAATCACTGCAAAACTGGATTTGAATTGGATGTTATTTGGATTATTTGGTTTTGCTTATTGAATTAAAAAATATGAAGGACCAGCTTTACCAATAATAGAAGCTCATGAATCCAGATCTGGGCTCTGAAATGTTTGCATACATGATAAGCTTAATCTGAGAGAAGGGAAAAGGAGATTCGTATCTTAAAAATAAAATAGTTCAGCTGTACCACAATCTGATTTTTTGAAGACATTGTTATTGATGAGAGAGAGTGGAAATAGAGCATTGGTCAGAAATAATGTGTGCTTATAAATCTGTGTCTCTCTCAGGGCAAAGCAGGGGAACACCCAGAGGAGCCCGTTAAAACACCTGAACCAGAAAGTGAAGAGAGCGACTTAGGTGGGGAAAATCGTGACATGATTGCATTTTGCCAGTTTGAAAATGATTCTGAAAATCCTGTCTCTGTAGATGGAGCTTAGTCTTGCTTTTGGTTCTTCCCCCAGAAATTGATAATGAGGGAGTGATTGAACCGGACAACGATGACCCTCAAGAAATGGGAGATGAAAATGTGGAGGTAAGCAAATTTTCAGTGTAGCAGTAGGAAAGATAGGAGGCTTTGAGTGTAATCAAGGATAGCAGCTGAGGGAGGATGAATACTTTATTATCTGTGGAACCAGCTGTTGTTTTGCCTCATTTTCTTCTAAACAGAAAACTAACTGGCTTAAAATCACATTCTTTTCCTTTTCAAGGTTAGAGTCAATCAAAAAGTTCCATGTGGATGATCAGGTCAGAAAATGCTAAAGAAGTTTATCAAAACACCCATGCAAACTAGATATGTAGAATTCTACCATTATTCAACTTAGCTTTCAAGTCTTTTATAGCTAAAAATAATGTTGACTAATGTCTTCTAGCTGAAAACAAAGGTTTTGTGGGGTTTTTTGACCTATGATTTCAATGCAAATTAAAATGAAGGTTCTGGAATTGGACAGCTGAAGCACTTTCTCCATTGGCAAGGTCTTAGTGTGGTAATTTTGGCCTGGACTCTGCAGCTTTTGGGGTTTGTGTGTATGTTTTTCATTTTATTTTGTTAGGTAACTGAAGAGATGGCGGATCAAGCTAATGAAAAGAAGATGGAAGCAATAAATGCTCTTGGTGAAGGTGATAAATTGCTTTTTAGTATTTATTCAGGGACACTTGATTTGGTTTTCCTCTTACAAAAAAGAAGGTGAATATCTTGGGCCATTATGAATGCTTTTGAGGAAGAGGAAATATACTTCTTGTTGGATACGCAAAATTACCTAGAACTTGAAAGCTTCTTCAAGTACTGTTTTTCCAATGTAGCCATTGTCTGGGAAAGGTGGAAGGGGGAAGGAGGTACTACAGCATCTTAATTACAAATTGATCATGATAGTAATTCCCTCCATATTATGTTTAGTGTCTCTAGTGGTTTGTCTTAATGCAGTGAAAAGGTGTAAAGATGTGACATTCTGTTTGATTGCATTCAAAGTTAAATATACAAATTTAACTGGGAAAATATCTCTTCTCAAGCATTAATTTAGGAGTTCGTACTTCTGTAACATAGCAAGATGGAGAAAGTGATTTTTCTTTGTTGCTGATCTTCTATCTAAGAAGTGTTTAGGCACATAACACTGTGTAAGGCAGGTTTGGGAATTCAGGTGTTATTTCATTACATAATCTTTGAAACTTCACTGGTACTTGTATTTAGGGGACCTTCAGAAGGCTGTTGACTTATTCACAGAGGCTATCAAGCTGAATCCTTGTTTGGCCATCTTGTATGCCAAGAGGGCAAGGTGAGTCATAACCTGGTGATTTATGTCTCTGCCTGTTCTGTTATTCTCCTTAAAGAGCCTAAGTATGAGGCAACTTGAGGATCTGTGTAAACTTCAACCACAGGAGGGAAAGAAAAGTGTTCATTTCATGCAGTTTCTCTTCTGTTTGATTCACCAAATTTGCTGAAGCAGCCCTATAAAGAATCTTGCTAAGAGAGTAAATAACAGAATGGTGTTCCAAAATGCATTGTGGTAACATTAAGGACACTTTGCAGAAGGCACCCTGGCAGTCATGCTGGCACTGCCTGAGCTGGAACTGAAGCACCTTTGCAGCTACATGCCCCACACTCACAGTCACATCAGGTTTCCTCACTGTCTTGACCCCGGGTTTCCCAGCTGACTCTCAGACATCTGGATTCTTAAAATAATTTAGTCATGGTGCAATAACAAATTAACAGCTCGAGCTGGTGCCTCTGAGGAGGGATTCCATACCTTCCCAGTCTGTGCTTGTGAAGGGCTGAGGTCATGGACTCCTGCTGTGTCTGAGTGTGCAGTCTCCTGGCTGGGCCACAGGTCCCTGTGCAAAGGTTGACACCAGTTCTTGCTGGGGCTCTCACCACCTGGAGTCCAGTCTTCAGCTGACACTGCAGCTGCACATGGAGTGTTCCTGCACTGAAGGTATTCCTCAACAATAGTGCTTTTGCTATGTTGAGGTAAGTTAATGCTGGGTTACAAACACTTCTAAAATCTGAAGTGTGTTGTAGGATTAAGATGATGATTGAAATGACACTGTTTAGATGCAAACTTAGTTAAGAATCCTGTGAATTCTCTCCCTGTTGTACCTACTAAATGAATTTGTTAGTAGAACAGGTTCTGGTCAACAGTCATATGTTTGAACATCTGTATCTCAGCCCATTCTTCACCCCCCCTTACTGCTGCTTACCTCTGCCAGACTCCAGATGAGGCTTTGGGAACTTTCAAAATTCATAATGAACAAACATCTTTATCTTCCTGATTCTTCAGGAAGGCTTGACAAGTATGGATGGCAGAAGGAGATTTTTTTTTCTGTTCTTACACAAAGGACCACTAACCATGGATGATATGATAATTTAGTGGCTCTTTCCCATAGCAATTTTGTTCAAAGAGAACATAAACTTTCTTAAGATTAATTAGTGTTCTTTGTAATACAAAATACTGCTCCATTGTAATATATCTTGACTGGTACTTGCCTTGCTTTTTTTTCCCTTTCCATATAAAAGTTTTTGCATGCAACACTACTTGTGTACCTTAATACACTGCTGCTGTTACTTACTGGAGTTGTTGACAAACTGTTTTTAAATGCATGTAAAAGGAAGATGTAGAATTAGATGTAGATGTAGAAGTTCTGGCATGGAATATGTTGAATATTGAAGACTTTTGTCAATTCAGGAATGTTTTTTAGTGTTTCCTTAAGAGATTTTTAATTTTAATTACTTGAACCTCCTAAAGTACCAGTCTACTAGTTAGTCTGAGATGCTTGTGTGGTGTAAAATTTTCAATTTTTACATTTAACTGATAAGGGATTGGGGCTTCTTGCTGAGTTTGTGTTTATTTTGCTGCTTTTGATTTTGGTGACTCATGTCCTACCTCCTTTTGCTCATGACTCTAGCTCTTGATCCTTGTAGCCTGTGTAACTCCTCATGCTTTCTCTGTGTTACTGTGTTAAGGACTGTGCAATGTGGTATGCAGAATTTTGTTCTGGTTTTGTTCCAATTGCTAGTTGCCATTGGCCACAGACCCCAGCCACCATGGGACTGTCCTTTGCATTTGTGTCCTCTCATCTGCACTGAGGTTCTTGCTGGCAAGGCTTGAGTCTGAACAATGAATGCTTTCAGTTCTTGCTCATGACTCACCTGCAGTGCTGGGAGGGTGAGACTAAATTTTAGTGACTTTGTTATCTATGTTACTATGAAATCTTTTTGAACTCAGCTCTTCAAATGCATTATCTCACTAGCTTGCCTGTTAGTCATCCAAAATTATTTCCAGCTTAAGTTAGTAACTTGGTATTTCAATATGTATGATAAATGTTCTTGTTCCCGCAGTGTTTTTGTGAAACTACAGAAGCCAAATGCTGCCATTAGAGATTGTGACAGAGCCATCAAGATTAATCCTGACTCGGCACAGACCTATAAATGGAGGGGGAAAGCACATAGGTAATGAGCTGCACCTGTACTTGATATTATCTTTACTTGGGGGAATAGTTGTGTTCACACATTCTCTCCTTCTCTGTGCCTCTGAACTGTTTGTCTTGTACCTGAGACCTGTTGGTTAGCTGTGAGCCAAGAAACCATTGTGCTGAGTGTGTGGCTTAGAGAATAGAAAGGATGGTGATCTATTGATGGCAATTTGTGAGTAGTTCTCCTGGTGCTGTTTCCCCTCCACTCACCCTTCCTCTCTCATCTTCCAATGGCTTACTGCTTTTCTGAATAGTATTTTGTAATTATTTGGTAAAGATAGTGAGATCTAGGACTGTTTGTTTTATTTGTTTGGGGTTTTTTTGTTTTGACTTAGTTTGTTGGAGTTTTTGTACTGACCTACAATTCTTGAACATTTCTCTGCTGTCCTTTTCCCTTAGACCCTGGAGCTCTTTTACATAGTAAATAGAAGTGCCTGGTTATTAGGGAACCATTTGTTGCAAAGAATATAATTATTTTAAATGGTGTTAGGCATCCCACCAACTACAGTGAAACTTTTTTTTTTTAAACAGCAATAAATCAAGAAAAAAGGTGACAATTCTTATGGCTTATATAAAAGTGGAAGAAGTAGATGTTAATATAACTTGTAAAAAACATCTTAGACAGTGTTTAGAGAGCAGTTTTTTTAATGTCTGCAGTTTTTGAATTAATACCTTTGTCTGTGAGCAGAAGTGATTTCATCATTTAGCAATACCACCATTTGCTTAAATGTTAATTGTCAAGAGTATGTATAAATTAATAGTAAAGAAGTGTGCACAGAGGCTTACATGACTGCCTTAATTAAGGTGTGGTGTATCCAGTCTTGAGGTTTGAGTGCTGAGTAAGGGGGTCCACTTAAGCCTGGTGGTAGTAGTGCTTCATGTGTTTATCTAGGGTACCCTTCTAAGATCATTCTTTATAGCAGACAGTGACATGATCTCATGGAGAGTTTTTTACTTATTGTTTCTTCAAACAGAAGTTACCATAAGGATATGAAGCAAACAGGTGTCCTCTAACAGTATTGTAGTGTGCAGCTTAGAGGAATCACCATGGTTCTTAAACTCCTTGTAGCTCTAGGTAAAATTTCTGACTGGTGCATGGTCAAATGCTTTGAAGAGCTGCAAGTGTTCAGTTTTCCCTTCTGACTCTTGGTGTCTTCTGAATTCTAGACTTCTTGGTCACTGGGAGGAGGCTGCTCATGATCTTGCATTAGCTTGTAAACTGGATTATGATGAGGATGCAAGTGCCATGCTGAAGGAGGTTCAGCCAAGGGTAAGTGGGGAGGAATGTTGGAGGTCTTTCCTGCATTTGTCTGAGTGAAACAGCTGCCTTCATGTTCTTTAACAGGCATTGTGTGGAAAAATGTGTTTGTATGTGTTCCAGCAGTTCAGGCTGAGTTTATAAGTACTTCTGTATTTAGTAATAGCTGTTTATGGCTGTGTGTAGAGAAATTGAATGTTTGGGGCTGGGCACATAACAGAAATATGAAATATGTTCATTTTTCATTTTTTAAAAGAAGAATCTGAAGCAGTTGACGTTTGCCAGGTATTTTAGAATCTAGACTAAAAACCTTCTGAAAAGCAGAGATAGCTGATAATTGATTTTTTCCCCAAGATATTTCTGAGTTGATCAAAGCTTTGACCTTAAGCACGTTTTCCAAAAGAAGCATTTTGCTGTGGTTTGTACTTTCATTAGCCAGCCCCATGAGGGCAGCCTCAGCTCTGCACAACTGGTTTTCAGCTGTTCTCCCCTGGCTGACCCCAGCAATCTTCTGAGGAGAAACTTGTGTAACACTATTGATAGCAGCTTTCTTTTTCACGTTTTTCCTGTTGCTTTGAAGTGATTGACACACCACAGATGGCAGCTGTTGCGTGGTATTGGATTTACAGAGGGAGTTTGGGGGAAGGTGGAGCCTGCAGGGCTGGCCTCTGGTAAGGAGAGACCTGGAGCCAATTCCAGCTGGAGCCAAAGCCCAGCGAGTCAGTGATGCCAGTGGTGCTTCTGTGAAAATATTTTTAAGAAAGGGTTAAAAATACAGTGTAACAGCTGTGAGAGGGAGGGCAGTAAAGAAGAAAACCACGAGAGAAGCAGCCCCTCTAGAGACACCAAGATCAGTGAAGAAGGAAGTGGGAGGAAGTGTGCTAGGCATGGGAGCAGAGATTTCCCTTGCAGCCAGTGGGGAAGGTTGAGCAGGTTGTCCTTGAGCCAAGGAGATCCACATGGGGCAGATCTGCCCTGCAGCCCATAGAGGATCCCATGAGAGAGGAAATGGATCTGCCTTGAGGAAAGCTGCAGCTCATGGAGAGCCCCCTGGAGCAGGCTCCTGGCAGAAGCTGCAGCCTGTGGATGGAAGCCTACACAGAGCTGGTTTTGTGGCAGGAGCTGCAGATCCCATGGTGGATCAGTCTGTTGTTAAGGCAATGTACCCTGTGGGTACACTGGAGCAGTTTGTGAAGAGCTGTGTGCTGTGGGGCAGGAAAAAGGTATGAAAAGGGAGGAGTGGCCAAAAATACAGTGTTATGAGCTGATGGTGGCCCCCATCCCTCTGTGCTCTTCAGGGTGGAAGAGAGGGGAATGAAGCAGTAAAGCTGAGCTTTGGGAAGAAGGTTGCTTTAGTTCTGTCCTTGTTTCCCATCATCCTGCTCCATTTTTAATGGACAATAAATTAAATGAATCCTCCCCAGGTTGGGTCTGTTTTGCCCAAGATGGTAGTGGGAGAGTGATCTTGTCTTCATCTCAAGCCAAGAGCTTGTCCATCTTATTTTTCTCTTCCTGTCCTGTTGAGGAGGGGGGAGTGAGAGAGTGGCTTAGTGAGCATCTGGCAGCCAGCCAAGCTTAAACCCCACATGCATAAACATTCCTGTGTCTAACAACTTCAGCTTTTCTACCATGTCTTTGCTGTCTCCAGCAAAATGACAATGGAAACCATTTTACAACCTATTAGTCTTCTGTTCTGGAGACTATTGATCTGTGGTTAATTTAATTAGGTCTTAGGTCTCAGCTGGTTTTCATAAGTAATACTTAATGCTTGGCTGAGGGGGAGCCTTTTCTTTGCCAGTTAATCTGCCTGAGCACAGAGCAGAGTGAGTACATGTGGTACATTGATGTGTGGTTGCTAACTGCATGGGAATTTGTGTATGTAGCTCTCAGAGAAACATAGGCTCTTCCCATGAGCGATTTTCAAAATGATGTGTTCATCTGATTTATTCACTTCAAGCTTCCCTAGAATTTTTTACTTTGTAGTACTTTCAGCTAAAAGCCAAAGTCAAATTCTAAAAACATTTCATTCATTTTGAGAAATACTTAAAAATAACAAAAATCTAAAATTTGGAAACTGTTTATGCTTCAGTAAAAGGAAAAGAACACTTACCTTTCTCTTAATGAGCCATTAAATGTCAGTGATGTCAGGATCTGATAGCAGGTACTGCATTCACTCCCTGTCATTCCTGCTGCTTCTGTGGTGTTTCTGAGGGTTCCCAGGATGAGGTGAGAGATGAGAATTTGATTCCATGTTCTCAGAAGGCTGATTTATTATGATATGATATGATATGATATGATATGAATGATATACTAAAACTATACTAAAAGAAAGGATACATCAGATGGCTCAGCAAGAATGATAATGAAAGCTTGTGACTGACTCAGTCTGACACAGCTGGATGTTATTGGCCATTGAGAAAAAACGATTCACATGGATCCAATCAAATATTCACCTCTTGGTAAACAATGTCCAGACCACATTCCAAAGCAGCACACACAGGAGCAGCAATCAGATAATTATTGTTTTCATTCCTCTCTGACGCTTCTCAGCTTCCCAGGAGAAAATCCTGGGCAAAGAGGATTTTTCAGAAAATATCATGGTGACACTGCCTTCAGTGTGCTTTCTCTGGCAGATGCACTTCAGGAATAATGTGGTATGGAAGGAGTATCTCCTAACTAAAATAAGTTGTATCAAATCTCTTCTATTTAAAAAGCAATTTTTTCCTTTACAGAATAAGAGTATTTCTCTAAAAGAATACAAGTATCCATTGTCTAAGTAGTATCTTTGTTCTTGCAAACAGATTTGCTGTGCATTTTTCAGTTACAGGAATGTTACAGAGTAACCATCATTCACTATTTCTGAAATCATGAAACATTTTTGCAGTCATTTATAAGGATACCTTCTGTTTTGGGAAACCAGTGCTGCCATTAATTCTGTTGATATTAAAAGCCCTGAGTGAGGAGCCTTGGGAAGCATTGTGAATTCTTCTTTCACTTGGTCTATGGATTTAATACATTTGGGGAAAAAGTTAGTAAAAGGAAGCAAACTTCCTCCCCACCAGCCCTTTCTTGGGTTGGTTGAGGAATTATTTGGTCTGTTTGTGTTGGTCTGTGCAGGCTGTAGAGGCATCTGAAGCAGTGATAACACTATCTAGAGTGTGTGTGTGTGCAGTGGGAATTACACTTCCTATTGTGCCTTTTCCCAGGACAGTTGCTGGTTTTAGCCCCAGAGAAATCAATATTTCAGCATAAAAGCATAAAGGAACATGGGATGTTCAAGTTCTAACAATGATGCAAGTCCCAAAACTGCTACCAAAAAAAAGTTCAGAGTGCATGTTCTGGTGAATCCAGTCAGGGTTGAGTAGACACGAATGACTGACTCCTGTGGGAAGGAAACAGCAAATGGCTCCTAAAATAAAGAGGCTTTTGGGATGCAAAATCAGATCTTAGTTTTAACAACTGGTAGTCTGGGTTGGTTGTACTTCCATATGTTTTGTACTGAAATCCATGGTGTGAGATGCTAGAAATGCATAGGAACTCCTGGTATTCAATTGACAGGCTCAGAAAATTGCAGAGCATCGACGGAAGTATGAGCGGAAGCGTGAAGAAAAGGAAATCAAGGAAAGATTGGAAAGAGTGAAGAAGGCACGGGAGGAGCATGAGAAAGCACAAAGGGTGAATATTCAGGCTTTAATATTTCTTAATAATTTGGAGAGTGTTAATTTTGGTTAAAATTAATTACAGAGGAAAAAAAATACTTTAAATGTAAGTTTTAAATTTTAGAGAGTTGTTTTCTGTCTTGGTTACTTAACCAATAATGAAGTTTGGAGAAGAAGGCATTTGAATTCATCTGGTTTTATTGCTTGTGACAAAAACAGTCTCTGGAAGCTCTACTAATCCTGTATTTCAAGAAGTCAGTTATTGTGTGACTGTTCCAGAATAGGTTTCACTTAATATACTTATGTGTCCCAAAGTGGGAGGTTTTAAATTCAGAATAATAATACTTTACTTCTCTTCCTCAATTCCTGGCACAGCTTGCTTGCCTTTTTTTTTTTTTTTTTTTGTGCTTTAATGATGTATTTTAATATGTGAGGGGTGGGAGTTCTAAAAATACAGTTGGGGAGCTAAAACAAATCATAATACAGTATTAAGTATTTGTATTCAGTAGAAGCATACCCTGCATAACTAACCTGCAATCATGTATAAAATTAAGAACAGAACAATTTCTTGTCAGTGGCTTTGAAGATAGTAGGGTGCTTTGTTTCTTGTGATGGCAGATCTGCCTGAAACAGTCTCGGCTGTTTTTTTTTCTCCTCAACCCAGTTGAGCAGTAGAAAACAGGCTGCACTTCCATTGTTTTGTGTGGAATGATGTGCTTTCATCTGCAGGAGGAAGAAGCAAGACGACAGGCAGGAGGAGCTCAGTTTGGTGGCTTCCCAGGTGGCTTCCCAGGTATTTTATTTTTAAGCACAAATACTTGAGGTGTAGAGGTGGCTGTTGTTTCCATATGGTGCATTATAACTGCAGGTTTTATAGCATTTGTTCTCAAGACAGAAAAATCTTAGGAAGTTTAGAACTCATATACAAATAACTCTTGGAGCACTAGTGGTAAGAGGGATTCTTTCTCTTGAAGAGGGTGGGTGCTGTGTAGCAAGTAGAGGGAAGACAGAAATCGATAATTGAAAAACAGAATGAAAGGATTTAGGTCTGGGAAAACAAAAGAAGCAGAATTTGCTTGATAATGTGTTTACAAATGAGTATTAAAATGCTTTCTAAGTTACTCAAGATGCCTTGAATCCATTTAAGAGCAATAGTTTTAAAGTTGAAAATTTGGATTGAAGATGAGAAAAATCTTGTGCTGGTTGCAAGCTGTTGTTAACAGAATAGTTTTTTAAAGAATGTAGTGCAGATTACCTTATAGAAAAGTTATCCTTGGCAACTTCACAAAAATCAGGATTTCCATGTTATACAATGAACTGGGGTGGAACAGAAGTACTGATACTCTTGAAGATGGAGATGTAGTCAAGAGTTGAGATAGGCTGTGTGTGTGCTCCAACTGGATCAGCAGCCAGATGGAGACCAGATAAGTGTCATGCTCAGCACAGCTGGGGAAGCTGCAGAATAAGGATTCTGTAAGACAACCTCAAACATTTTGCTTCGGACATGTTTTTCTTAGGGTTTTGTTGGAGTTTTTTCCCATTGGTGGCACAATTTTTCAAAACCTAAAGTCCCTGCCAAATGTGGAATGTGCCTGGGACATAATACTGAGCTGCATCTGTCCTGAATTGTTCACCCCAGACATTCAATCTCCTTATGTTCCTGAGCTTGAGACCTCATTTTAGTTAACCAGGAAAAGAACTGTACTCATTACAAGCATCCTACTAAACTGGGTTAAAAACATAGATGAGATAAGATGTAGGTGTTAACAGAAGGAGAAAGTGAAGACCCTGCTTTCCATTGAGTGGGCCAGCTGCAGCCATATGGAAGACATGGCTTTAGAGATGAGGCAAGGGCAGTAGGTCTGTGTCTCAGTGAGCATAATTACAGTATGGCTGAGTTGAACATTTTTTTGTGTTGGATTTTCAGGTGGCTTTCCTGGGGCTGCAGGCATGCCAGGAATGGCAGGTGTGCCAGGTCTCAATGAGATCCTCAGTGACCCAGAGGTTCTTGCAGCCATGCAGGTGAGTATTTGTTAAAGTCAAAGCTACACCTTCTAAATGAGCCTAAGGGGAGGAAGGAAGATGTGACCTTTTGGATGGCAATGGGGTGCTTGCTCATTTCTGTTGTAAAATTCTTTCCTCATGTATGTGACACCAGACTGTCTGGATTAAATGTTAGCTGCTTTGCAAACTAATGGAAGCTTAATTAAAGATGGCACACAAACCCTGCCCCCCATCTATGACAGGCAAAACTGTGTGTTGTATACAGAAAGTCTCTCAAATGGCCCTTTTCCACACATTATAATTTACTTGCTCATTTTTTGGATGCACACACTTTGTAGGGGATAATTATGCACAAACAAAATTGATAATATTTTTCTTACATGATATAATAATATTGTGATGAGAATTACCTTTCTCTTAGGAGATTAAATGTTTGAGGTTTTGCTGGAGACAAAGTATTATTAGAATAGTGCTTCATCTGGCATTTTCTGAAATCACATTCAGAAAGCTTACTTCCCTGGTGGGCTTGATTAATTGCTCAATGTCATAACTACTTCTTCTCAAGAGAAGTATTTCAACAGATTGAAGGGAACGTGTCTGACAACACCATTTTAAGGGCAGGTGGGCTAGAAAATGTCAGAGCTGTGTAGTTCAATTTGCATTCTAATATGATCAAGTACAAAACTGTCTTGTTTCTTTTTTCTGGATTGCTGTGAGTAGAGTTACATATTGTCCTCAGGTCATTGAAATAAAGGCATCACAAAGGAAGCTTATTCAGTATGCCCTGGAATCACAAAAAATCATCACTTTCCATGCAAAAGTTAATGGGTTTGTTCCCTTAATGGTTGCTGATGTTGGAAAACACACCTTTACTTAGGCTGCCACAGTCAGCAGTGCTGGCTTGCATGCAAGCCCTGCAGAAAGGGCCCTTGATTGTGGCTGTCTTCCTTACCTGGCTACTTCCTGCTGCAGCGCTGCAGTTTGTGATGAGAGGTTGCTGAAAACAGTGTTGAAGTGCAGCTAAATATTAAGTGCTTGTCACATGCCTTTAAGAAGACTCCATTGCATGCTGATTACATATGCCCCAGCATAGGGTAGGACTCTTGAAAAAATGTGTGTTGTCAGTGTCTTCTGATAATGCAGGCAGGCTTTAGCATGTACAGCTATCTAGATATGATTTATTAGAACTTGATCTATGTCTACACTGCCACCTTTTCCTAAAATGTCCAGCTCTGCTTTCTGGTCTTTTCTGAATTGGCCCTGTAAGCTCTAGTTTGAAAAAACCGTAGTTTCTACTGCCTGGCATCTGCCCAGTGCAGCTGTGGAATATGTTGATGGATAATGTAAGCTGGCAGGTGTTATGTCTGTTATCTGAGGTAACAAAGCAGCCTGAACATACTGAATCACACAAGTCACTCCAAAATTGCTTTGTAACTGTAGAGGCTTTTCATAGTGAGGAGTTAGTGCCAAAATGGGAGTATTTTAAGAGTAAAGGCCACTACCTCAGTCTCTTCAGACTTGCTGTGATTTCATCATTTTGGAGACTATTCTCGGTGAGGTAACACTGAAATGTGCCTGAATCTTGTAGCAATTCAGTAAACCTGACAACCATGGGTGCCTGAAGACAAGCCAGATTAAACTGATTTTACTGTTAACTTCATCTTGTCATCCATAGAAGCAACCAAAGAAGCAGATATGGCTGCCTGTGGACATGTTTAGGGGAGTTATTGCTTGTCATTGGCATAAACCTTGCCTGGCAGGGTGTTGGCCTAGATGATCTCCAGAGGTCCCTTCCAACCCTAACAATTCTCTGATTTTGTGATCTCTGCAAACCACTATAGAAAGTTCTTTCTTGAGGAAGATTTCTTGTTCCATTACATGAAGATTTATTTCTTCAGGTTTTTTTTTCCCTCAAAGCAGCAAAACTTCTCTTGCATCTATTTCACAGCTTCTCAATGGTAGCAAGTTGTGACTTTTTGCAGTGACTTCTAATGCATGTTTTTTAGCTCATTTGCCCCTAAGCTTTCTAGTCTCCAGAAGAATTGAGTGAAATTTTAGTGTTTTATTTTACTGTTTTGTATATCTGGAGAGTTGTCTAGTACTTCATATCTTGCATATACAACTGCTCTCTCTAGACACATGACATTTGCATTTTGGAGTCAAGTAGAAGTTCTTTTTATAAGGAATGATGTGCAAGATGAACCTATGGATTCCTTATTTGACTTGTAGCCATATGTTTGACACAGACTTCCAACAAAATGTGTTAAGTTGGAAAAAAATAATATTCTTTCTTGGAAGTATTATTTTTCTTTCTGCAACTGAAGACCAGAGCAGTAGAAAAATGAATGTCTCCCTAGTACCATTAATAGAATGGCTACCATTCCATCTTATGCACTAAACTTTTCCCTCCAGGAATGCTGATATCCTCAGTCTTACACTTCATTTTGATAGTATTGCTCATCACTGTCAAACCTTGGCTGTTATAAGCACTCTCTAAGGTTGAGAGCTTCCAGGAGTCACAAAAGTACAGAATCACTTACTTGCTGTGAATTTATAGGAAAGTGAAACACATAGCATAAAACTGGATATTTAACATTCATTTAGGAGTGCTTTGACACAAACTAGTGACTAAGATTACTTTGCTTTTTGTTCCAGATTCATATATAAGTGAAACCACAGACTTAACAACATGACAGTCTTTACAATCGTATATCATACCTATTTTGAAATCAATTCAAGAAGTCTGAGGTTGTGAAAGTCTGCTTTTTTTTTTTTTTTTTTTTTTGCATGGGAATCCTGTAAAGTGGAGAGAATATCTAACTCTCTTTTCTGAACTTCAGCATTCTATTTTCCATATACTTTGCAGATTATCTTTTGTGAAGGAGACAACACATTTGTAAATCCTCCCATAAGACTGGACTCTTGGTTCCCAACGTGTTTAAAATATGACTGAGGTGTGTGGGTGCTTGCAGTAGAGTCCACACCTACCAGATGCAGTTTAGGATCAGACTTGTTGAACAGCTTTGGGCTGAGTCTGATGCTAGAATAGATACAGGATGATGTTATTGTAGCACAGACAGCTCTGAGCACACTGGTTATGTGGTGGTGATTTCCAAAGGACGTGCCTGCTGTAGCAGTGGGTTGGAAGTCTAGGAAGCAGTGTGTCTTTTGGTGAAAACACTTAATCTCCTAGAAGGGACAGCAGATGAAATTACAGCTAACATCTGTGAATTGTATTGAACATAATAAGCTGCTTACACTTTTGTTAAATTAAAGCAAATTGGAATTTTTTGTAGATACTGCTTATAATGGAAACATTTTTCCAGGCTGGCATGTAAAATTGTTACATACAGAGTCATTATGTTCAAAACATACACAGGTAAAACAAGTAAAACCAGTTCAAGTTTGGTGGAGGCCCAAGGTGTGCTAGAAGTATGGGAAAAAAGCATTAATACTTTTTACCTCTCATACTAAATAGAGAAGATGGAGCTATTTTTTTGGGCACTGACTTTATTGAATATGTGGATGTATTTATGAATTGCAACAGAGTAGTGTGATGAGAGACAACAACGTTCTTTTCCAAGTGTGAATTCTCAGTGGAGGTGAGAAATGACTGAGAATTAGATGGATTTTAAAAGCCAAACATTGCCACATTGTCTGCTCACAACCCAACAGTTTCAGGCTTTTGCTGCTAGAATGAAAAAATGAGAAAAGGATGAGAATCAGCTGTTGCTCAGAGCAGAGTTATCCTGTCATGCATGCTACACACATCAAACTCCTACCTCCTTCAAAATGCATTTGAAAGATGCCTGAACAGAAATAATACAGTAGGTAGGTGTGGCTGTGTTTGATAGCTCCTGTTCTGGGAAAACAGAACTCTTATCTGATCCCCCTTCTCCTACACTGAGCTGTTAATGTAACAAGTTCAGTAATGACTGGTGTTTAGTGACACAGTTTAACAGCATGCACTGTATTATTGGGTTGTCTTTAGAGAATTCTTGCCAGAAGTGTAATGTAGTCTTGTCCTGTAAAAGCTGAGCAAGGCTAGATTCATGTGGAACTACATAATCACTTTTGAAGAGTTGTTTTACAAATGTCCTAATTTTTCTTCCTTTTTTTCTTTTTTTTTCTCTTTTGTCCTGCAGGATCCAGAAGTTATGGTTGCATTCCAAGATGTTGCCCAGAATCCAGCAAATATGTCCAAGTACCAGAGCAATCCCAAGGTCATGAATCTCATCAGTAAATTGTCTGCCAAATTTGGCAGTAAACCATAAAATCCCTGGTTCTTAAAAATCATACCTGAATGGCAAGGATTGGATTTGGCTAACCAGTGTTGCAATAAAATAAACCATTTTACCTCTGATCTTCTTCAGAAGAGAAATGGGGTGTTCTAAGGAGAACTGCTCTCTAGCCCCAGGTATTGACTTTATTCAATTACTGGTTTCTAGAACTCAAATTATATTCAGATGACCTAGTTTTCAACCATCCCTTCTTGTCCAACAGTTGCAACCTTTCATTGTAAGTGTTACAGACAGTTTTCTCTGAATTAACGTTCTTAGAACAAATTGTAGTATTCCAGGAGTATAAGATAAAAACATGCTATTTTCTTTTTTCTTTATTGCTTTCACTGAGCAAAGGGGAAAGAACTTGAACGACTGAAATCTGTCTTAATCCCCTTAGGACAGAAAAATAGACAGAAAAATCCCCCCTTTGCAGGTGGGACAAGTCTGAAGAATTAACTGGATAAAGGAATTGTCCACAAATAGAACTGTTTTTTTAATGGGTGATAGGCTTTTTGAAGCTATTATCAGTATAATCAGGCTAGCTAGTTACACACTGGAACTTCTGGCAGTACTGCAAATACTATATCATTTTGATCACCACAACTGTGCAGCAAAGGTACAATTCTACCCTTTGCACAACCTGGCATGAAGTACATATTGCTGAGGCCATAGATGTTTTGTTACTTGTTTGGTTCTTGTCCAGCACCTTTAGGTAACATTTTATTTATCAGTCTGGATATGGGAGAGCAGCTTCCTGTCTGTGCTTGTACTCTTGTCCTTTCTCAGCTGGCAGGCCCTCTGCTGGCTGCACTCACCCTTCTTTGGGGCCATGCTTACCAGGTTGCATCTATTTGGAAACTTTAGGGAAGGAATCTTGTTCCCATCACTACCTCTATCCCACTGAATGCAAGCCATCCAGAACATGTACATGCAGAGTTACACATTGGTGTAGGGGAGAGCACCCAACAAAATTGCAGCTCTGGGTTCTGAGTCCTTTTGGGTTCTTACATGCTCACTGATTAAAATTTCTTGGTCAAAGTCCTGCTGTCTCTGTAGAGGTGATGACTTGTTCTTCACCACATTCTGTAGTCTTCCATCTTCTCTTGTAGCCTCTTGTTTAAGAAAAAAACTGTGTTGTTGTGGTTTCATACCTCCATGGTTTTGAGGCTTGTGATACAGAGGAAAAGGTGAAGCAATTGGAACAGACAGAACATTCTTCTGACACGTGCATTTATCAGCACGGGTATCTTTGATGCAGTGTCTGTCCTGATGATGTTCAGTGGATTTGGCTACCAATAAAGACAGTTTTGCTTCTGTTTGTCTTGGCTAAAACATCTTTATGTGGAAAAAATGACCATAGTTACCTGTTCACCCCTTGAATTTCAAGGTTTGTGTTACTCTTTTGTAATTCTGTATCTTGAGCCATAACTGATGTTACCATTTTTAAACAAATCTGGTTTGATGTAGGAACTCTACAGCAGTTGCAAAAAAGTAAATCCCCAAATGCTTTTTCTCCTACTAATGACCCTGCACAATGAAATGTGAATCTTTTTGCTTAAGAAATACAGTTCTGAATACTTCTCTTAGCCTTTAAAAATAAAGTATGGTTTTGAAAAACACAGCTTTTTGGGTTTGTGTAACTTTCTGATAAAAACCATTTTGCTTAAATTAAATGTGGTAGTGCTTTATTCAAACTGTATGTATAACTTGTGTTTTAAATTTGAACAAAATGCCTACGGGCTCATCTTCATGACCAAATGAACTCAAAATACAATTGTGTGTTGCTGTGTGCATGGCTTTTGGTCATAATCTTCATCTCCCATTCCCAAGAAGAGATATTTGAAGTAGGTCACCCCTCAATATAGGCTAAATCTCGACTTCTGCATTCAGGTAGTGCATGTGTTGGGCACAAATTAGAGTATCTTGAATAGAGGTTTATTCCCTACAGTTTCCTGTTATTCCAACTTGGCTGTTTGTATCTGTCTTCCCATGAGTAGTCAAAAGTAGTCTCCTACCTAATAGAAATGGTCATATCTGTGTCCTGCCTGCTTGCTTACACATCAGTTGCCCTTACTGAGAGTTGACTGATTCTATAAAAGCATTCTCTCTTTTTGATGTTGGCTTTAGCAGTTCAGCTGAGTTCTTGTTCCTTGAGAATACACATTCTGTGACTCCTTTTGTGTGTGAGCTTTTTTGCTTTTAGTGTTACTCAGCAAGTAAATTGATGAGCTGTCTGGACCTCATCTCAGTTCCCTGAGTTGGTGTGTGGACATCTAAGCAGCTAAACTGGTTTGAACAGAAGTGCAAGTGCGGAAAGCTAACTGCACAAGAGATGAGCAAAGACAGGAAATTCAAATGTGGGACGTAAGTAGCTAAATGAGGAAGTTGTTCATTTCATTGGTTGTTCCTGTATTTACTGGCGGATCCTTCAGGTTATTTGTTCTGTGGGAGCATTGAGTGGGGGTGGTTGTTGTAAGTGCAGTGGCAATAATCAGCTCTTCTGGCACTTTGTCTCTGAAAGCTGCAAGAGCACGTCCATGTCAGCTGGGACAGCGTGCTGCCAGCCCTGCCCCTGGCTCAGGTGTGCCTTCCTGCCTTGTGCACAAGTCCTGCTCTGAGCTGTTTGGCTGATGCCATGCCCTGATCCAATGAGCCAGGAGTGCAGTGATGACCTGCAGCTGACTGCTAGAGAGGCTCACAGCCTTGTTCCTGTGGGAGTCCTGGTGACTTGAGTGTCCTCTCTGGTTCAGCTGCTGCCCCAAGGAAAAGCAAGTGTCAGCTCAGTAGCCACATCCAGGCTGTTCTAGTTCACAGGGAGTCCTTTTGCATAGTAATGTGGAAAATGCAAAGCTTGGTGCCTTTACCAGAAATTTTTGGAAATTTTATCTTCCTTCATTGTTGGTACTTTTTGAGGTGGCTTGTTTTGTCTTTGTGGGAAGGCAGTGACTGGATGAGTCTCAAAGTTGGATGAAGGCAGATGGGACAAAGCCAGGTAGAGCAGTGATAGGCCAGAGGAGAATGGGTCAATGAGTATTAGAAAGCCACATAAAGGTAAAACCATGTTACAGAAACAGCTTTTTGCAAGTACTATATGTAGTTTAAAATATCTGTGCTTATATGCCACCTTGTTTTTCTTGTGTGTGACTTTCAGGGCTTTTGTGTAAAGCTCATACAAGCCATACTCTTGCATATGCCTGTACATCCCTCTTCTGAGGAATGGAGGAGGAAATAAGATTGTTATGGGAGCTCATGGCACCTGCTGTGCCAGCAGAATCCTTCACCCATTGGGATGGGAGACTGGACATAGCCAGGGGGAGCTGGAGCCAGGTTAGCCTTGGCTGTACCTTCCCATGGATCATGGCATGCTGCTGACTGGAGGTGTTTGGAGCCTCTTTGGAATCCCCTAGGGCAGGTGGGCTGAGGGATCCTGGAGGCAGAGGCTGCAGGCTTGTTTGCTCCAGGGCAGCCTGACCTGGCAGTCACTGGTGCTGACAGTGGTTGGTAACCTGGAGCTGGAGGGTGGCTCACTAGGAAAAAAGTAGCAGTGTTTTCTTCTGATGCCTAGAGAAAGGTGTCCTGTGAAACATATGCACAGTTCTGCAGAGGTGGGCCTCAACCTTGCTTCACACATGATGGAGTGAGGGCAGCATTGTAAGAAAGTAATTCTGGATTACCAAAGAGCTGAGGTGGAGTAAAAAATCTGGTGTCCAATTGAATGCAGACGCCTCCATGTTCAGTACCACAAGACAAATCATAGGAGGTCAGTAGTGTTATAAGAAAATGCAAATACAGAGGAAGCAGAACAGTTTTAATGTGGCAAATAAATGAAGCAGATCAGGTGGTTGCTGGTAGATCTGAACTATGGAGCAAGAAAAAAAATAAATTTAAGCAACTGGGCAACAAGTCACTGATCACTTTGTGAATCAAAGCTTGGGTACATCATACTCACTTGATGTGACCCTCACAAACAGGAACTTGTGGAAGACAAACCTTTTCTTGTCCCTGCTGACTGGAGGTCCTGAGGTCCCAGAGAATGTAAATAGCACAGACTCTCCTGTAAATCTGAATCTTGATAAATAACCAAATCCAGATGTTCATTTGTAATTTTGCTAACAAAGTGTTACTACTGTATATGTCTGCTTACAAACACACTTTTGAAAGCTGTATCCTATATGTATGATCTCAGACAAGCCTGAGATCTTATCAATAAATAAATAAATGTATTTGCAGAATGTGTTAACATCTCTTTTTGTTAAGTGGGTTACAACTTTGGCACCTTTGTTGTTGCACAAGATTTTTTTTAATGTATAAACATTTATTTCAGAGGTTACAAGGAATGTGAGTTGCTACTGTATGTAAAGAAATGTGAAGTATTACAGGGTTTAGGTTAGCAGTTTATCTTACAGTTTCTTCCTGAAGTACAGCAGCTGCAGCAGTCCAGATGGTACACATCATTTTTATGGAGCAAAGGCATTCAGAAAAACAAGGTACTTATTACTCAAATGTCCAGTAAGTAACAAGGTGAGGTCTAAAGGTAATAGTAAATTGAATTCTATTATTGAAACATTTAGTTTTCTAACAATCTCAGTGGTGGGTAAGAGTTCTAGAAATGAGTTGAATTTGCATTTCACATTTCAGAAGTAAAAATATCATAGCTGAAATCAGTGTTCAATAAAATTAGCTTTTAAATGGGCTGAAGGTACAAGATGTTAGGAAATCATCAAAAATAGATGGAAAAATATCAAAGTACTATATTGAGAGTGAAATGTCTGAGCCGCTGCCAGCAGCACTGCCTCTCATTAGAGAAAATTCATTCTGATGTTTAGCCACTAGTGTCTAGTTCTTATTTGGAAGAGAAAACCTCCTGTACTTTCTTATTTCAGATTTTATAACAATTGGTCTAAAATATGGCTTGTTGATAAGAGTGTATAAGGAAAAATTAACACAACTGTTCTATGAGATTATTTGCCCTCACACTTTCTTTTGTGTTATCCTACAATGAGGAAAAGTTCTTGAAAAAGAAAAGGTTTTTCAGAAGCTATTTTTTATCTGGCACAGTTTTTCTCTAGTCTCTTGTATGAAAACTTTTCAAACTATATAAACAAGATTCTGAACTGGAATTAATTAGTAGCCTTTACAAAAAAAAAAAAAGAATAGAAAAATGTACATTTAGAACAGATGTTAGACATTTATCAAGTGTCTGAGGGAAAAAGCAACATCAAGGCAACAAAAAATTGTGTTTGACAATTACTTAGTCTATGCAAAACTAAGGGTGGCTGAGGGACATTTGGTCTAGTTAGGTTGAGCAAGTACCATGATAGGAGATTAAATGTAATAGTGGCAAGTGTAAGTAATTAAAAAAAAAAAAAGAATTTCAACTTTTTTGATATCCCTGGACCTAGATGAAGGGCATAGGGAACATTCTGCTTCATTGCAGAGGCTCAGCCAAAACTGGTTCATGCAGAGTTCACACACACATGTGCTTTTTAATCTGTGTGTGATTACAGTGCTTGCTTCTGGAAGAGGCTGCTTTTACCTTGGCCTTAATACCTAAGCCTGATCTTGACAAGATGGTGTGATCAAATTGCTCTATTTAATGAACTCAAGTTGTCAGCACATGCAATCTCATTTGTTAATTTCTAGTTGCTTTTATCTTGATGTACTGGGACTGTGATCCAGTTTATCCACCTTCTCTGAAAGATAAAGTTTTGCAACAGATTCAGAAAGTAATTTTGAAAGTAGTAATTAAAATCTGTCATTCTGTCTTGACATGCTTGGACTCTCTAATGAATTGAATTTCTGGGCAAAAATAAAGGAGATATGTATTTCTTTTTTTTTTTTTATGTTAGAATAAGGAGAATATTAGGGTAGAAATAGTTTAAGTTCAGAGTTCATTTTTTACTTGCAAAGGTAGCACACAGTGCAGAGGCAGTAAGTTTGCCCTCCGGAGTCACCAACAGTATCCTCATTACTTGTCATGAATCAGAAACAAAGTTTGGGTCAGCCAAAGAAAATCCATCAAGAGTAAAGTTTCTCAAGATTGATTAATTTCCTGTACGGGAACCTACAGAATTTCGCAAGCAAGAAATGACAAAGCTGTAGTTCATGTACACAGAATATGTTTGTACTTGTAGTTGCTTAATTCAGTTCACTTCTTCCAGGCTTTCCAGTAGAATTGGCAGATTTGAGGAAAGGTAGGTGGTTTGGGCTGTCTGTCCTTCCTTAAACGCCACTTGTGCATGTTATGTGTTTGCCTGGAAACCTGGTGGATTTGGGGCATTTATGTGAAGACCTTAAGGCCATGTCTTCAGGAAACCTTTTATGTAGATAAAAGGTTTAGCTTTATGCAGGTTTTTAGGTACCTGCCTTTTGTCTTCCCTTGGTAGAATACAAGGCATTAAGTTTAACTTAATCTGTAGCGTGCCCTCATATTTCTGGGACAGCTTCACTAGGTCTGTGTGTTCCAACAATAAAGCAAGTTGTTTTTAGAATATTGCAGCTGTTGTGTTACCTGTTAATACTCTGTTTTGCAATATACACAGGGCATAGTGTTGTATTAAGAATATTGCTAAATACAGTAGAAATAAGGTAGAGTTATTTGGGTGCATGTTTATGATGGAATTCCAGTCTGCAGAACGAACTGACTCTTTGGTGAAAGCTTCCCTTCACACAAGAGGGACAAAACCCCAAAGAACAGCAGTAATGGGGGTCTGTGTCCTGTTTGAGGCATTCCTCCCAAAAGCTCATGGACCTGATTGTGTGGTCACTTTTTGTATAATTGTTCCCTGGATTTGTAAAGCTGCTCCTGCCTGCTTTAGTGACAGGAGATAGCCAGTGACCTGTGTACTCCTTAATTCTAAATTAAGGCCTGAGTCTTTTATACGTAGGAGTGTGTCACAGGTGAGTTATTAAGAGTGTATCAATGTGGGTGTAACTAAAAACATTTTATTAATGATTAAATGATGGTCAAAGATAATTAACTGACACCTAAATGAAAAGAGAATGATGATAGAATTGTTATTAAGCAATAATTGAACGTTAATGAAAGTGATTTAACAATGTTTTAAATTATTGTTTAAACAATAATTTACACTCTGGTCAAACTACTACTTACTGTACATCTAATAATTCAGCTATAGCTAGATTTATATTAATGTAAAATATCACTTTTCTCATCATAGATCTCAGATGTTTGGTAAGGGG